TCGAAACCCTTGACACGGCCTGCTTCGCTGCGCATTGTTTCGCGGCCAATCTTGCCGGGCTGTCTGAGCAACGATCTCGGCCGTCATGACCGAACCGGGTAGTTTCAGTGGAACTTCGTGGGTTTGGCCGAGATAATCTTGGTCGGTTAGCCATCGAGGTACAGTCACCTGATCCTGCTGATCTCCACCATAAAGGGGACCTAGGCGCGTTTGCATTGTCGTCTGAATGGCCGAACCGTGTATTTGCAATGATAGTGCAACAGTCGTGCCTTTTTGCTCGCACCGTTGTGGTAACGCTTCGGTCATAATGCTCTGGCCGGACCGTTCTTGATCGGCCAGAATATGGGCTGGGCCGAACTGCTCGGCCACTAGTACCGTAGGACTCCTTCCGAACGCTTTGGCTAGAGCGTGGAGCGGGCTACATACTTTCTTTGCCGGTTGGTTTGGTTCGGGACTCTCCCTTGAGGCCTGGGACTGCCCCCAACCGTTGGTCGGCGGCAAAGAACACTGGCCGCAACCTAACGCTGGGGTACAGGAAAAGATGCCAAGGTTGCCGCTTTCGCCGTACGGCTCAATCTTTTCACGTTCCTGGCCTCTATATTCGGTTCCAGGGAGTGTTGCGGGCGAAGTCACCGGCATTCTCTCCTGGAAAAGCGTTCGTAGCTCTGAAGAAAATCTGTCCATCGTGGCCATGAAAGAGGTTTCCATCATAAGTTTTTGACAGATATCCCACCGGGCGTGCCAAAAGTGTCTGCCGTGCAAATCTCACGGCCTGGAGTTCCGGGCCGAGGGAATGTGCGTTAACACAGGGTTTCCTGCTTTTGGGTGCGGTGCGATTGTGCGCGGGCGTGCCAACACGGTTTACCGTGCGTTTGTTGTTTTGATGAGTTTTGGATGGATGAATGGTGCGCCTGTTTGATCTGTCTTCCTAGTCAAACGATTGTAGCCGAGAGAGGAACTGGTCTCGGCTGTTAGGTTCACGGCCTGAACTACAAGGCCGTCGAGTGATGGTGTTGGTGGTGGATTTTGGGCGGTGCTCCGGCACGTTGCTCAGGGAGCGACGGTCGTGTGATATATGGGGTGAGTGAGCGAACAACAAGGATGGTGCTCCGGCGCCTTGAAAATCAAGGGTCGTATGATATATTGATGAATGGATTCTGCTTAC